TCTTAACGCTCAAAACTCCAGAACTGAGCTGAAACCAGGCGTGCTCACTGTTCAACAGCCAAGCTTATATAGTCTACAGCAGAGTGGTATGATGCTATGTTGTTCCTAGCTGTCAGTCAAACTTGTTTTAACCCCCCATCATGTTATAGCGCCCACGGTTCCCTCACCAGTTGATGGCTGAGGCTCCTCGGTGCAGGGGCAGGATGGAGGGGTGGTAGATGATGGAGCCGTGCTTGGGGTTGTCGATGACGTTCATGGGGATGAACTGGGAGCAGAAGGGCATGACGTTGAGCTCAGCGCCCACCGCCTTGTAAGCGTCCACCACCTCAGGGATGGGCTTCCCCTTGACCCGCCACCGAGGAAACTTGAACACGGGTGTCCCGTCCTTCTCTGCAGCCACCGCTGAGAACAGAAAGGAGAGTTTAGTGGTGCTGTTAAGGTGGGAGCCTTAACTCCAACTCAACCATGTTTGAGGCAGATACTGATACTGAAAAGAATAAAATATCAGGATAAAAAACAACTGGGACTGTGACATTTAATGGAGACATTACTTCTGAACGATGTCAAGCATATTTGATGTTCAGTGTTTTCATTACTTGTCACCTAACATACATGCTGATGTGACATGTTTTGATCACAGCTGGTTGAACCTACTCTGGGTGGTGATGAGTCAAGCTGTTGACTGACAGAACATTTATGGTAGCACTGTGATAGCTGATTATTTACTTGAGTCACTGTTTAAGGTTAAAAAGTTTCTTGAACACCAGCTTCCCAAAAGTGTCCATCTGCTAGTTTCCAAGTGTTCTATGATGGTTAACTCTCAAAACATGAGGTTAACATAATCATCTAAGGTACACTGTGGGCAGCTGGTAGAACAGGTTGTCCTCTGATTGCAAGGCGGGTGGTTCGATCCCCTGCCCCTCCACTTATCCAAGTGTCCAGTGAATGAGGAACACATAGTAAAGTGGTTTGAGTGCCACAAAGTAGAAAGGCGCTATATAAGTGCAGACTACTTACATTATGGGTGATATTATGCTCTAGCTGTGCACATTTCTAACCAATTTGTAATGAATCAAAATTACGGCAGGTTTCCACTTTCCTTAGTTTGTAATTTATTCATGCTTGTGATACACTATTCTTAACTTAAATATCAGCCCTGCCAGTGTATTAGTCCAGCTGTCTTTTATAGTTCCTGCTTATTTCGATGTAAAAAACCAACTACAACATTTATGAGACTCCATTCCAATTCATCATTTTAAGCGTTTGTTAAAACCTGCAGTGCGTTTGCATGTAAGGAGCTTTTCTGGAACTCTCTGCATGGCTATGTGTGAGGATGATCCAAGACTTGAGGCTGGACAGTCCGGTCCACCAGAGCACCCCAAGAAATGACCAAATCCACCGTAGAGTTTTCACAGACAGAGTCCATCCAACCTTCCTGAAAGTCTTCTAAGTTCCCCTTTTCTAGTGTCCCTACATGCAACCGACACTGACAGTTTTGACAATGGCCCAAATGACAAACACACAGGTCATAAACTGTTCACTGTTAAGGGCCATTGATAGCAGCAGCCACATGCGGCAACGAGTTCAACATGAGTCAGATAAGCGTCAACTCCAGTCAGAACCAAACCTTTCTTCTGCAAGTGGACACACAGCCTCGGTAAGCTGGAATAAAGCTGTCAGAGAGCAGCTTTCTCCAGTTCAGTCCTACAGCCAGCTTGCTGTGACACAGTGGGTCAGAGGCTGCACACGAGCAGCGCCGGAGCCACGAGCTCGCAAACACATGTGAGCTCAAAGACGCAAGCGTGGGTCATTCTGAATATGACACTATCCATCTTGTATTGAGCTTCCTGCTTTTGTTGAAAATCCAAAACTCTAGAAACCGTGCTTGAAAATCCAAACTGTAGCAGGGTCAGGCACAGCAGGAATATGTTCACGTTTAGAAACAGCAAGAGAAGAAATAGTGGAGTATTGCTCAGAGAAAACCAGGATGAGAAGCAGAGGTCAAGAGGCAGCTGATAGCAGATGATGATGCTTCCTGGAAAGATTGCATCACACCAAAGAGCGCGGCCCGACTGTAGACTTTTCACCTCAGCGCTGCATCTCCGCGCCACACAGGGCCTCTCCCCATGCAGACAATGGAGCCACTATCCCACAGTGAACACAGGATCAAGGCCAGTCTTTGTCCAGGAGCACTGTAGAGTCAACATGCATCTACCTCAGCCACAGCACAGAGCGACGGCCCAGGACAGAGGGGCATCGCACCTACAGCCNTGTGTGTGAAGACAGGCATTAATGTAGATGAAACAAAGCCTCTGACTGTGGCGGGTTGTTTTCTTCAGCACTGAGAAAATATTTACTCTTAAAATATTAAAACAATATTCACTGAATCTGTTGTGAAAAACAGAATTAGATAGAGAGAGGAAGGACCCCTGGACCTTCATGTGTCCCACGATTATGCAAATGATTACTGGATATAATTGTGCTAATGACCAACTTGGTCATGGAATTGCAGCTACTATTATTTCACATATGAAATAATAACATGAGGCTTCTTCCCTAACTTTACTGTACTTTTTATAAATGAGTATGAGTGCTGATTTCCTTCAAGCAATCATGTATGTTTTCCTCCTTTGTATTTATTATTTATTAATTAGTAAATTATGTAACTATTTTTAGTTAATCTCTTCTCTATTTCTCAGGACCCTCAAATGTCAGTTCCATATAACAAAAGGTCCATTTGTACTAATGACAACATTATGAAAAGAAAACATGCCAGCTGCCTCGTGTCATGATGCCACACTGTGAACCTGCAGCATTTATAAGTTCACTTTCAGGAGCCAAAAGCACCAGGATCTGTATGAGCCTTTCAAACTTCACAACAGACACCTGTTGTGTGTATTCTCTTTGTTCCAGGAAACACACCTGACCACCGATGGCAGTCCAAGCACCGGGGACTTTGTCATGGCCGCGGATCCAGTTGTGGATGGCCTCAGCTGGCTGGGCCAGGTTGATCTGGGGAACACAGAAAGAAGCTAGTGTCAACACTGCTGCCGGCTCAGATTCGTTTTCAGACCAGCTTACCTAAATTTCTGAGAATGAGTGGAAAGCCCAGCAGCTGGCTGCTGCTCACTGAGTGACACGTGGAAAAGTGAAACTGGAAAATAAGCCTCTGCTCCAAGAATAGCTCATGTGGACACACTGCCAGCAACGAGGCTCCAAGTGACAAATCAGAGCAGCTCAGATCAGCCCCACCTCTCTCTTTCTCATTATACACCACCATAAACCAACCAGTAGCCACTCACTCCTGGTTTTGGCGCTGAGAAACATTTAGAGGTTACAGTAAATTTCCACGCCGTTCACTGAATGAAGGTGTTGCTGCGCTGAGCAGCTGACCAGCAGCATGAGGCTGCAGAATACAAGCTGTGTGTTCATCTGTGGAGAAAAGGGTCAACATGTGGCCAGGTCCTTATTGTAAATGAGAATCTGTTCTCAATTAACCCACCTGGTTAAATAAAGGAAAAATAAATCAATCTGACAATGTAAATTCTGATTCATATCAGTGTTTGATGGAAGCTCATATGAGGCTCGACTCACACAAATCAAGTGAACATCTTTTTATATCTTCTTCTGTCTTTTTACTGCTATATTCTCACTTTGCATGTTCACAGACACCCTCCTCAGAGAAGAACGACTGTAACAAAGACTGTATTTATCATTAATGCATTCATTCATATCACATGAGTTTATATTTTATTGCTTATCTACTGATTACTGCATTTCCTAATGTTGTGTAATAGTTTTATGGTTAAATTAGTTTTTTTGCATAATATCTGGCAAACGCCTTTCCTTCTGGATTAATAAAGTTTTATCTTATCTTATGTGCCGTCAAGTTGCTCTCAATTATTAGAAGCCTCACCTTGGCGTTGGATTTCTTCTGGATGCCTTCATAGCTCGCTCCTTCCTCTGTCTGGGGAACTCGAGGGGCTTTTCCATCAGCGATGAGCTGCACAGACTCCACCTGCACAGGAAACAGTGTGAGCGTTAGGAATGTTGGAGGACCCATGCTTCTGTAATAATCTGATACTAAAGTTCTGCAGACATGGCAGCATTCACTTCCTATCACAGCTGTCAGAGCCAACGACATCTGAATGAATATGACAAACTCACATCAAAGATCTCACAAGGAAACTGGATGACACAATGCACATTTCCTTCTTTTAGTTTTTTTTAGCCTATTTCTCATTTGAAATAGTTTTAATTTTGAATCTTTTTTTGGCAAAATCTTGTTTTAAATGTACTACTCAAAAGTTTTGTCACAGTTTTCCAAACAGAAGAGTTCATGTTGAAATACACTCAGTTCATTGGTTTATTCTTAGCTGTAGTGCTGAGAATCGAACAGTTTCAGTGGTATTGGTACCACATTTCCTGCATCATGACATCCCTAGTTCATGTGACAGCTCAGACTGTGGTTCATGTCTGTGAAGTTCATGTTAATGTTCTGCTGAGGTGGTCACCATGGCCTTGATGCCCTCTGGGAAGAGGAAGCGGTTGTACAGCGTGTCCACGGTGTCGTTGGGCTCCACAGCACACTCCCTCTGCAGCAGGATCGGTCCGGTGTCCAGTCCGTCGTCAGCCCAGAACACTGTGAAGCCACCTTTCTTATCTCCCTGGATCAGAGTCCTGGTGGCATGCAAAGGCAAGGACACGGTTGGAGCTGTGTCATAACAGACATATTTTTAGAGCAGGTGTAGGATATAAAGCAGACCATAAACCTGTCAGATTGAGACGGAATAAGATAAAGAAATGACTGAGAGCAGAGACGGAAGCTGTTGAATCAATGATAAGAGTGAAGAACCTGCTTCGGGCGGCTGTGGCTCAGGTGGTTGAGCCAGTCGGTCATTGATCGGAAGGTTGGCGGTTTGATACCCGCCCTGTAACCTGTGTCTGGGTCGTTGTGTCCTTGGGCAAGGCACTTCGGCCACCTTGCCACCTTTCCAGGTTTCTGACAGGCAGCGGTTAACCTTTCACTAGATGTGTGGTGAATCCAGTTAACGTTAAAATTATGACAGGTTTACCAGAATGCTCTGAGCAGCTCTACTTGTGCCTGTGTGGGTTCCCTCCATGTGCTTCCTTCAGCAGTCCAAAGACATGCATGGTAGGTTCACTGGTGATTCTAAACTGGCCATTAGTATGAATGTGGGCCTGAATGGTTGTCTCAGTTCGGACAGCCTTGAGCGCCCCACAACCCTCTGTAGGACACAGCGGTTAGAGCTGCTGGATGGATGGATATCTCTTCTATTGTAAAAGGCGTGACCCTGACAGAAATATTAGCCAGAAACAGATAAAGTATGAAATGCAAACTTGCAACAACAAGAGAACTTAAAATAAACTGTTTGTCATCT